CAGCAAGGTCGCCACCCTTCTACCTATTTGGGTCACTCCTTCCGTATAGGGTGGCCTCCACAGCCTCCAGTGCCAACATACCAGTGCACATAATCAAATCACTAGGGCGATGGAAATCTTCTGCTTATACATGGTACATACACAAACCAGTACAAGAAAGACAAAATGCATTTAAGGAAATGTCTGGTTAATTTGTATGTATTTGTTGACTGAATTAAATCTTTGATTATTCACTTTTTGCCCTCATTATTTACAGGCCTACCATATTGTCGGTCCCGGCACACCACAACCGACTCTTTTATACTATCCTACGCTTATACTGGAACTTACTCCTTATATGGCTATGTACTCCTAACACAAGTATTAAGGCCTGTAATTGTGGGAGGGGCTTATGATTATACACTTACCTATTTAAGGAACACCCCTTAACTGGCTCCGTACCGTTCAAGGTCAGTGTTTGAATGACCCTCCCACCACTCCACATTCTCAACACTTTTTCTTCCTTTCTTCTTTTGTTTTTCTTTTTTCCTTTCTTTTCTTACTCCTTGGTGGGCCCTCTTTATTTACAGGTCTACCGTATTGTCGGTCCCGGCACACCACAATCAACTTGCTCTTTTATACTATTCTACGCTTATACTGGAACTTATACGGCTATGTGCCTCTAAAATAAGTAAATATATATATATATATATATATATATATATATATATACACACACTCTAATAGGTGGACCCTCTTTTCAGGACCTACCTCATTCGTCAGTTTCTGTACACCTTTTTGATCCTTGTCACAAATTATATATATGTATGCCTTCATCTTATGTTCTCTGCATTGAAATGGAGTACTTTGACTATCTTAACATGCCAAGTTTATCTTACTTGGTATTTAGCACAAATATTAGATATTGCATATTGCTATTAATTTACAAAAGTCAACAAAAATAGGAAATATGTGTTAATGAGTCACATTTATATTATAACCTTTATGCCATTACATACATTTCTCATATATGGATTTACTCTATTTGTACTTTGAAAGGAAAACAAAGTCATTTTCCTGGCACTATAGAGTTAATAGGTCCCCTCCTCCCTGACGGTGTTAAACCCCTTTAGCCACTTACCTGAATCCAGCACCCATGTCCCTTCAGTGCTTTCCTATGGGGAAAATCTGACACTGGAGGTCCGTGAAGATGTCCAGAGTCAGATAACGGACCAAAAGTTTATGGAAGCCCTCTAGTGGCTGTCTGCCACAGAGGGCAGACTTAGAGCTGCAATTTAGTTATCTGGAACGGCAAAAGTGCAAAAGGGTCACAGCACCCAGACTACTTGATTTAGCTGAATTGGTCTGGGTGCCTACAGTGTCCTTTTAAGCATTTTTTACTATTCCTTTCCCTTTCTTGTTTTTGAAGGAATTGAAAACAACAAGAGAGAACTTCAGCATGAAGCTGAATTGTTTTGGTTGGAATCTTGAGTGATTTAAAATCCATACATTATGTATAAATACTTCCTAGTGGACATTTATATTATGAAATAAGAGGGCCTAAGGGGTTTTAATTTATTTTTCATTTTTATTTACTCATTTTACATTTTTTTACAATTAAAATTACACCTTCAGAGGGTGAGATACATTCATCCACCACAGTGTATTGTTAGTAAATAGCCACAAATAGGTTCACAACCTTATTGCAATTTTGTACTGGCTGATCACCAATATTTTTTTTTGATTGCATTATATTTTTATTAGGTTTTTCAACAAGCGTTACTTCTATCCAGTAGGTCCAACAGTAATAATTCACAACATCAATACATTATGTCAACATTGTATCCGAGACTTGTTACATCGATTGGGATTTGCGGTACTTCTGCTTCTGCGTTACATTCAGTTTGTGCAACCTTCTTGTGCATATACAGTAATAACATTGTGCCTTTGCACATTCTACCAAACCCCCCTCTCCTCTGGTCATCTATCCTCCCTGTGTCAATCTTGCCGGTTTCGATTTTATGTGCTGGAATAGGTGGGGAAGTCGTGGAGATCACCAATAATTTTTGCTTACAAAAATACCAACCACTAACAGATTTGCCACTAATCAGCATGTAATTGCCTTTTGCAGTGTTGAAATATTGCAGGCAGTCTGAATACAGGCAATTTAATGAGTAAAAAGTAGGGATATGATTGGAAAAGAGAACATAGACAGCAATCAAGTAGCAAATTAATCATTAAAAATTATACATTTGACACATACTGCAGCAATTTTTGCATCTCTCAGTAGAAAAACGTCATGCAGAGTACTCTTATTATGCATTTTAGCGACTATTTAGCAATTTTTTTAACTGATGTGTTTGAAAAAAAGTGTTTGCAAATAGATTGATGATGTCTGCTAAATAAGGGTGCCTTGTGGCTTTTCAACAAACTCAACTGTCTATGAATATGTGATTATAGGGAAGAAAAAAAAATACTAATTCAGCTTTAAGAGAAATTTAAAAGGAACATTGAATCAATCTTCCAATATTAATGATTGTTCAAAATATTATCTATCAGTAGCAGCCAATCAGCAGCAAGTATGTTATAACAAAAACGCCAACATTCAATGTAAGCCATTTGACATTTTCAATAGTATGGTAAACATGCAGGTGCACCTATTAAATTAAGAGAGTGTCCAATACTTGCAAAATGACTCCTTATGTAAAGAATGCATCACCTCACAGAGATAGAAACATGGCTATTCTCTGTAAAATATAAAATTTTCAGTAAAATGTGTCTTTTTATTTAAAAATGTGTCAATTTGTAATACCTTATCTCTCTAATCTACCATATTTAAATATAGATTACAAATCCTCTCTGGGGCATCTCTTTTATGTAATGTTTTTAATTCCAGTTTTGTTATTTGTATTTTGATGTAGTTAATTGGTCTTTTTATATGAAAATATATAAAATGAAATATAGCTTAATAAGCAAATAAATAACTCCTTATAAAAGTTTATAAAGTCACTAAAGTTGGACTTAGTTTGAGAACTTATAGCAGTTATGTAAACGTATGTGCAATTTTGTGTAATCCGCAAGTTTCTTTTTTTTAAATTGTAACTGTTATGTAATTTTGTGAAATGGTCTAAAATGCAACATTTTGCCTGCTGAGTTCAAATAGAGAAAGTGGGGAACAAGGCTGATTCTATCAATTTTTTTTCAGCAAAGAAAATCAACATAGCTAGACCAGATCTCTGCCCATTGGACCAATTTGTCAAAACCTGACATTATTTCCAATTTCTATATATATTCTCTTACTGTTTTAATAGGATGACCTCGAGAGCCATTTGTGGATGAAACAATGCAGTTTAAAAAATATATCAAATCAACAACATTTTTCTCGCTCAATAGTATATATTACATTTTGTTTTTTATGGTACTGTTCAATAGCCAAAGTCATAGTTACGCTTTATTGTATTTTTGGATACACTATGTTTTTATAGCAGTGCATGTTGATCATATTAACACTGTATTTGACCCCTCTTTTAGAAGCACATTTAACCACTTCATGACAATTGTCTCAAACAAGCCCCTTTATATCATAACAGTTTTTGTGATTCATCTGTCATGGAAAGCTTAATATTATATGTTTCTGGAATTAATAGGCAGTGATTAAAGTATGTATATGACAGTTAAGGATATAGTTATACTTTGCATGACATAGTAATACTAAGATTAAAATACATTAACTCTATTAAGTGGATAGTAAACACTTTACCTCCTGCCTATAACTTCAATCTCAGCTTCATATAAATATTTGAAATTTAAATTGAGCCCGCTATCTGGTTGTTCAGTGAAATTCCTGCAAGAAACCAAGTCTATTGACTTTACAATATCATAGCAAATGACTTTAGGGATTTAAAGGGTCATTTCTGACCGTCGGGAGGATTGTAAGAGCTCTCTGCTTTCATACTGCATAAATATGTAATTCAGATCAGTTGGATCATGACATTTTTATTTAGTGTCAGCTTCCAATATATTGCCTATAGGAAGCATATATACCGACGACTGGATGGTTTAACAGTATACCATATAAAAAGATCAGAAACTAGTAATATGAGGCCTTATGGTTTCACTTAGCCTGTTAAATATGTATTATTTTTTTTTTTTTTTTTTTGGAAATGGCTCTTAGGAAATGAAAGTGGACTTTCATTATATAAACTCACTGATCTAAGCCATTAATTTTGTTGTTGTTGGTGGTGCTTGTTTGATGAGATCATGACCTCATTATACATTGAAAATGCTCACATTGTATGAATCAAGAATATCTTTGGAAAGTTGACATAATTTAATAATGATACATTTTATCTATATCTGACATCCATACAATGTAATATAAGAAGTGGAATAGAGAAAAACTGAGAAAAAATGCTTATTTTGTTACAGTTTTACATACTTTTGAGGATATTGATATTGCTAGATAATTGCTATCCAGATTGACTATTCTAGTTGAATTATAGCAAAACAGAGAATGGTAAATCTGAGAATGGGCAAATGCCAATCTCAATAACTGGCACTTCAGTTAGTCCTCAATGAAGTGTCATAATTGATTTTGCTGACTTGTGCCATTACAGAGAACCATTTGCAAATCAGACTCATGCCGCCCACGTAATTCTGGATATGAAAGGCTAGCTGGTTCCCTCTGCAATCCAGGATGATCGATTTGGCCTTCTTTGGGCTTCATCAGTGAGATGTAACTGATAATGATGATGAGATGCATTGCGTAATATGTTGGCGCTGTATAAATAATTGTAAGAGTAATATGAATCTCAGAAACGAAGATCAAACAAAGTGATTTATCTACTAAATTATCATTAGGGCATTCAGAAGAGTTTCCTATCCTGACAAAAAAAGTGTCTTAACTATAGAATTTTAATGATACAAATGAAAGTTAAAATGTACTTATATGTTTGTTCTACGCTGACCTTGTTTAGTCTTCTTTTAGGATAATTATTTCATATACAAGTTTTTAGTCCTCATCCTCGTTAGTATAGTGGTGAGTATCCCCACCTGTCATGCGGGAAACTGGGTTTCGATTCCCCGATGTGTATTCTTTTGAACACACTAAATGGGCTTAATTGTTCTTATCTGCTGTCACATTCTATGTTTCCCTTCGTTGGTGTACAATTCGCTTGATCTTTCACTCACCCACTTTATATGAATCTCTTTTCATGAAAACAATGGCCCTATACACAGGGTAAAAAGGGGGAAGAGAGGGCTACATCAGCACTTTTGTAAAAAATAAGCCTAGCTAAAGTTGAACTTACCAACATTACAGTGTGTCTAGACAATAATTTTTTCATTGTGTTGAGCTATTCCAATTGTTTTTTTTTTATTTGTTCATTGCAAAAAGCGGAAAGTCTTCAAATTTTGACAACAAACCTGATTTTTTTAAGGGGTTGAATAATTTTGATTATAACTGTGTGTGTGTCAGTGTGTGTATCTGTCAGTATGTGTGTGTGTGTCTGACAGTGTATTTTGCTGTGAGAACATATATCATAATTATAGTGGTGGTTTTGTGGCAAACTGCTTGGTAGTAAAAGCGTTAAGATGAAAAACAACTTAGCTATATGCACGTAAGCTTAAATGCCTTTTAGTTACTCAAGGTTTTCCATTGATATGTCCATTCTTGGCATGTTTGATTGAAAAAAAAAAAGGATTGTCATATATGACAACAAAGAACATATTTTATAGTGGTCTCAGAAGTACAAAGACCAGTGTTTTTAAATTTATTATAAGTCCATTTTTTTTAAAATCTCAATTAAGTGTTTTATATTTAATAAAAAAAATAAAAAAACCTCTCTGTTATAAGCTTCAATGCATATTTTTCATTTTCTCATTTAAGATTAACACACTATTCTTTTATTTGTAATTGTAGTGCTCTGATTTGTCCTTGAGAATAACAGTTTAACTATGTTAGATTCGTAGGTCATAGCAAAGGTCAAGCAATGGAAAAACATGCTTTCCTTTCATGATTCACAGTTAAAAAAAAACAGTTTCTACATAGCAACTATGTGTGCATCAACATTGATTTGCTTCTAACACAAGTTACTGGACTTTTACCCTTGCAGTAAAATGGCTGCAATAAACATCAACCGCATGTTAAATTATAAACATAAAAATGAACTCTTTGGCAACAATTAAAAATTGCCTTTCACACATCTACAGGGAGTGCAGAATTATTAGGCAAATGAGTATTTTGACCACATCATCCTCTTTATGCATGTTGTCTTACTCCAAGCTGTATAGGCTCGAAAGCCTACTACCAATTAAGCATATTAGGTGATGTGCATCTCTGTAATGAGAAGGGGTGTGGTCTAATGACATCAACACCCTATATCAGGTGTGCATAATTATTAGGCAACTTCCTTTCCTTTGGCAAAATGGGTCAAAAGAAGGACTTGACAGGCTCAGAAAAGTCAAAAATAGTGAGATATCTTGCAGAGGGATGCAGCACTCTTAAAATTGCAAAGCTTCTGAAGCGTGATCATCGAACAATCAAGCGTTTCATTCAAAATAGTCAACAGGGTCGCAAGAAGCGTGTGGAAAAACCAAGGCGCAAAATAACTGCCCATGAACTGAGAAAAGTCAAGCGTGCAGCTGCCACGATGCCACTTGCCACCAGTTTGGCCATATTTCAGAGCTGCAACATCACTGGAGTGCCCAAAAGCACAAGGTGTGCAATACTCAGAGACATGGCCAAGGTAAGAAAGGCTGAAAGACGACCACCACTGAACAAGACACACAAGCTGAAACGTCAAGACTGGGCCAAGAAATATCTCAAGACTGATTTTTCTAAGGTTTTATGGACTGATGAAATGAGAGTGAGTCTTGATGGGCCAGATGGATGGGCCCGTGGCTGGATTGGTAAAGGGCAGAGAGCTCCAGTCCGACTCAGACGCCAGCAAGGTGGAGGTGGAGTACTGGTTTGGGCTGGTATCATCAAAGATGAGCTTGTGGGGCCTTTTCGGGTTGAGGATGGAGTCAAGCTCAACTCCCAGTCCTACTGCCAGTTCCTGGAAGACACCTTCTTCAAGCAGTGGTACAGGAAGAAGTCTGCATCCTTCATGAAAAACATGATTTTCATGCAGGACAATGCTCCATCACACGCGTCCAAGTACTCCACAGCGTGGCTGGCAAGAAAGGGTATAAAAGAAGAAAATCTAATGACATGGCCTCCTTGTTCACCTGATCTGAACCCCATTGAGAACCTGTGGTCCATCATCAAATGTGAGATTTACAAGGAGGGAAAACAGTACACCTCTCTGAACAGTGTCTGGGAGGCTGTGGTTGCTGCTGCACGCAATGTTGATGGTGAACAGATCAAAACACTGACAGAATCCATGGATGGCAGGCTTTTGAGTGTCCTTGCAAAGAAAGGTGGCTATATTGGTCACTGATTTGTTTTTGTTTTGTTTTTGAATGTCAGAAATGTATATTTGTGAATGTTGAGATGTTATATTGGTTTCACTGGTAATAATAAATAATTGAAATGGGTATATATTTGTTTTTTGTTAAGTTGCCTAATAATTATGCACAGTAATAGTCACCTGCACACACAGATATCCCCCTAACATAGCTATAACTAAAAACAAACTAAAAACTACTTCCAAAAATATTCAGCTTTGATATTAATGAGTTTTTTGGGTTCATTGAGAACATGGTTGTTGTTCAATAATAAAATTAATCCTCAAAAATACAACTTGCCTAATAATTCTGCACTCCCTGTATTTATGTATTCATCAATTTCACCTTCACTTTATATTCTGATTTGTTTCTTTACTCCTCACTTTGCCTTAAAGTGATACCTTACCTGACCTTTTCAATGCATAAATTATGTTCAAGCACAATTTTCAAAAGATTAACTCTAATATTATCAAAATAATAATTATAGCCATTTTAATATATTACAATTTTTCAGAGCTCTGGTGACCGACTTGAAATGTTGTTACACAGTTTTCAGAATATCCAAAACAAAATGGCTGAATGTGATAGCATGTCTTGTGATACAATATTCATCACTGGACAGAGTATTCGAATAGCTTAGTGATGCAAAGATTCAACATCTGGAAGAAGTTCAAGTTAGTTAGACATATTTATTAAATTTTATTTAAAAAAAAAGATATAAGCAGCAGTACAAAATGGTAATGTAGTTTTAAAATATATGACTGCAGAGCATTTTCGATTACATACTCTTTATTCTTTTATGCATTATAAATACAATTTTCCAGTTATAGAAATGTATGTTGACACGGAAGTGCTTCTATATTTTTCAACAGAGCTCTGAAAAAATTTAAAGTTAACGTGAAAAGCCATAATATTTTCCACCAGGCTAAAATGCCTAAAAACAACTGATTTGTTGTAAACTACATCAAATTTTAACCGAAAATACAGTTTTTACTCCAAATTAATTTATACTTTTCTATTTTTCAACTTTTTTTATTCATGAATCTTTTCATGTTCTGTAGTTTTTCAACTGACCATATAAATAAAAGAAATACTATCAATGCAAGGAAACCAAAATTTTAAACAACTTAATGCTATAAACAGAAATAATTATCTGAGGTTTAAAGGAACACTAAAACCAAAGTTTAGAAATGCATAACACAAGTTCCACACTGTTTGGAACAAAGCAAATATTACTTAGAATTAACCATGCCCAACCAAAATTATAGTTTTTACTAAAACCATCCTTTTGAATGTCTTGGGGAAAACATAGATTATAATTACATTTGATTTTCCTGTTTTTGAAACTCTTATCCAAAACGTATCCCTAACAAATTGCTAGAGAAAAATAAAATAAATAAAATCTGCAAAAGAAAATAAATGTCCCAAAAATTCTAGTGTCTAATTCAATCACTATGGGGAATTACTACACACATGAACACCACAAATTCATTTCAGTAAACTTAAAAACATATCATTATTTATGCTGATATGTTCTCCAACATAACTACACTAACCATCACTTTGATAGATTTACATAGAAACATAGAATGTGACGGCAGATAAGAACCATTCGGCCCATCTAGTCGGCCCAATTTTCTAAATACTTCCATTAGTCCCTGGCCTTATCTTATGGTTAGGATAGCCTTATGTCCATACCACACATGCTTAAACACCTTCACTGTGTTAACCTCTACCACTTTAGCTGGAAGGCTATTTCATGCATCTACTACCCTCTCAGTAAAGTAATACTTCCTGATATTATTTTTAAACCTTTGTCCCTTTAATTTAAGACTATGTCCTCTTGTTGTGGTAGTTTTTCATCTGTTAAATATAGTCTCCTCCTTTTCTGTGTTGATTCACTTTGTGTATTTAAATGTTTCTATCATATCCCCCCTGTTTCGTCTATCCTCCAAGCTATACATGTTAAGTTCCTTTAACCTTTCCTTGTAAGTTTTATCCCGCAATCCATGAACCAGTTTAGTATTCCTTCTCTGAACTCTCTCTTAAGTATCAATATCCTTCTGGAGATACGGTCTCTAGTACTGCGTACAATACTCCAAGTGAGGACTCACCAGTGTTCTGTACAATGGCATGAGCACTTCCCTCTTTCTACTGTTAATACCTCTCCCTATACAACCAAGCGTCCTGCTAGCATTTCCTGCTGCTCTATTACATTGTCTGCCTACCTTTAAGCGATCAGAAATAATTACTCCTAAATCCCTTTCCTCAGATGTTGAGGTTACGACTCTATCCAATATTCTGTACTCTGCCCTTGTATTTTTATGTCCAAGATGCATTATCTTACACTAATCCACATTAAATGTCAGTTGCCACAACTCTGACCATTTTTCTAGTTTACCTAAATCATTTGCCATTTGGCTTATCCCTCCTACAACATCAGCCCTGTTACATATCTTAGTATAATTAGTATTTAAAGTAATACTCTGGCTAATGCTGAAATCTAGATATGTCCTTCACATGCCTTGCAAGTTTATAACCCTACCCACAGCAATAGTCTTTCAGAGACCCACTTAAATTACATTTTTAACTTGGTCACAGAGATCATTAGGTGAAAATGCATGTGTAGGAACAGTACATTTCA